GGGGTGTCTGGCCAAAGTGCCCCCTGGTGCAGGCGGGGAGCACCGGGCCTTCGGGGCCCAAGCCCCCGCACCCGGGCTTTCCTTCCCGGGGGGCTGCCAGGTCCCGTGGCCTCCCCCAGGGCGGTGCGGGAGCTCACTCCCCGCACTCGCCGCCTTGGGGCGGGACTGGCGGTCCTTCTCCCCGTCGTGTCGTGTCGTTGTCGTTGTCGTCGTCGTCGTCGTTTCGTGGGTCCCGGGGTCCGGGCCTTTTTCTTTGCCCTGCCCCTTGGGCGTGCGGGTGGCTGCTCGTTCGGCTTCCCCCTTCGTGGGGGCGGCTCCGTTCGGTTGGGGCTTCCCGCCTGCCCGTGGGGCGGGGCCTTTTCCCCGTCCCGCGCGGGCGGTCTCGCCCGTCGCCCGCGTGGGCGGGGCGCCGCGGCCGCGCCGCGCGGCCGCGCGCGACGGCTCCGCGCGGCCGATGCGCGGGCGGGGTGGCGGCGGCACTGCACACAAAAAAAAACAAGAACAAAAAAAAAACTCCTCCTCCTCCTCCTTCGTCCTCCTCCCTCCTCCTCCCTACCTCCTCCGTCCTGCCTCCTCCACCTCTCTCCTCCTCCACCTCCCTCCGCCTCCTCCTCCGCCTCCTCCTCCTCCTCCTCCTCCTCCTCCTCCCCCTCCTCCTACCTCCCTCCACCTCCTCCTCCTCAGCCTGCTCCTCCTCCTCCTCGCTATCGCACTCGCCTCAACCTCCTCCTCCTCCTCCTCTCCACCTCCCTCCTCCGCCCCTCCACATCATCATCATCATCATCATCATCATCATCATCTTACCTCCTCCTCGGGGCCGTCGCGGCTGAGAACCTTAGTCCGCGGGGCACGTGCTTGCGGGCAGATTCCTTGGTTGATAGGCCCACTGGAGAGGAGGAGGAGGAGGAAGGAGGAGGAGGAAGGTGGAGGAGGCTAGGGCGATCAGCGATGATGAGGAGGAGTCAAGGTAGGATAACAATTCGCGTGGAGATGAGAATGAGGGGGAGGAGAGGAGGAGGAGGAGGAGGAGGAGGAGGAGGAGGAGGAAGAGGAAGGAGGAGGAGGAGGAGGAGGAGGAGGAGGAGGAGGGTCGGAACTCCCAGGGGAAGCATACAGCTCCGAGCCAGGCCCGAGGCGGGCGCTGAGGCGTTGAGGCCCGCTCCGGCGTGGGCTCGCCGCGCGCCCGTCGGCCCCGAGGGAGTAGCGATCGCAGTGCGCGCGCTTGCGCGGCGCCCCTTTTCGTGCTCCGAGCACACGAGCCTGCGCGTGGCGCGATGGAAGGTCACTGCGCCGACCTTGCAGACGTGTTGCAGCGGATTTTTGCGTGGATTTCTGCCCATGCACGACCCCGAAGCGGCGTGTGAAAACAGAGTGAATTTCGCGTGGATTTTTGTTCAGTCTTCATTCCTGGCCAGCAAAAAATCCGCACGAAATTCACCTCGAAATTCGGAACGACATTTTGCAGGACATTCTGGGCCCATCCTATCGTTTTCCGAACGAAATCCGCGCTCTGCGATCTTGGCGCCATGAGAAAGGTCGGCGGCGTCGCAGGCACGTCTGCAGAGGAAGGCCTGTTGAGGCAACGGCGACCCTCCCTGGCGTCTTCCGTCCTGTGTGGGGGCCTCCTGGAGGCTCCTGGCCGCCACGGCAGGACCCGCCTCGAGAAACAACTCAGGCTGGACCCCGGGAGGAGTCCGGCAGACTCACTTTGAGCGGATGTTGGCCGGGCAGGCCGCCATTGTCTCACCTGGCCCTGCTCCGAGCTCAGACCTACCCGCCGGTCGGAAGGAGTGGGTAGAAACATGCAGTAGGAAGGCGTTGAAGTCGATTGAGCCTCCATCCACCCCCTGAGGAGGAGGGAAGAGAGAAAACCGCCAGACTCTTGAAGTAGGAAGGCGCCTGAGGTAGATTGGGATCTGGATATTCCAAAATACCTATTCTCAACGACCAGCGTGTTCCCCCAGCCCCTATGGAAAAGCCTTCGCCCCGCTGCCCGATCCCACCCCCACCAGGTGGTGAAGGATGCTCTCTCCGTCTGGTGTCGCGGCGCTGTACCCCGACCCGGGGGGGTACGGGCTGGTGGCGACGAGGTGCCCTGGCCCCGTGGGGAAGAGGGGCAGAAATAACACTGCTGAGAAGGGTCCCGGTGGATTGAGACTGGTCCCGGCCCCCACCAACCTGTTCATCCCTGGTCGTTCTCTTCACGGCCCCGGGGCCTGGAGAGTGCCCCAGGAATCCGAAGACGGTGACAAGAGCTCCAGAAGCCCTCTCCTGCAGGCCCTTCTTTCGTCACGGCACCTCTGGCTCAAGGGTCAAACATCGGCCCCAGAACCTGTCCTGGGGTGCATTTTGGCCAGAGTTTCAAGGCGGACCCAGCCGTGGCGACAAGGAGCCTCCTCGAGTCCCCCCACAGATGAAAAGCAACGAGGAAATTTCCTCCAAGACCTCCCTTTAGTGTGCCTGCAAAACATGTTCGCGCCGAGCCACGTATATGACTACGGCCACCCAGTCCGCGAGGCCGGCATCGTGTCACGAACGCTCGCGCCATGCAAACTCTCGAAACCCACGAAAATCAACGCACGCGTACTGTTCACTGTCGCTCCCAGCCATTCCCCGGCATGCCGACTGTACACCAGCCGCTGCATCCAGCACGCCGGGCCGCACATGACTTGCGGCGGGAGGCAGGGCTCCAAGCCTCACATGAGCGACGATCAAGAGCAGGTCTTATGCGAGATGGCACAGCGACCCTACGCCGCAGCTTACGCGGGCCGCCGGCGCGGCACGCTACATTGGAGACGAGGGCGCTCACGCACGGCCTTACGCGGGCAGCTTACGCGCGAACGTCGGCGCAGACGATTCCGTCTCTTTGCGTCGCCCATACGTTGTGGTGCTTTCGCAACCACCTGAGGTCTCAACCCCTTCCCGGGGACGGACATGTAATGCCGAGTCGTTTCCGGGGGGGTTGCCGGAGGCGTCCCTGGCCCAGGGAGTCCCCGGGGTCTTCCCTGGAGGCCCACATGGCCTCCAGAGCAGCCCTCAAGAGGCCCAGAGGGCCCCAGGGGCTCCAAGATGGCGCGAAAAGCTGGCGGCATCTTGGGCCAGAGGCACGCCTGGCAGCCCCCGCTGGTAACTTTCCATGAAATTCCTGCGGTGCTTGAAGGAGTTGTGCGATACCAGAGTTTCGGGCCTCCGACTACCCAAGACGGCCCCAAAGGCCTCCAAGATCGCCCCAAGACAGCACAGTAGGTTCCGGATACGGCCCCCAGACAACGCAAGGCGGCCACAGAGGCCTCCCAAGAGGCTTCCAGGACAGCCTCAAGAGGGGGAATCCGAGCGAGATGACATGTCGAAACCGCCAGCAGGCGCCGAAAGGGCCCCCAGAGGCCAGAACACGCGACCTCCACAAGCCCAAAGAGGCCCCAGGAGGTCCACGACCCAGGTCGGCCCCAACAGTGCCAAGAAGAAATCGAGAGGCCTCCTCCTTCTCTTTCATCCCTTCTCCCTGTAAACGACTTCACCCTGTCGCTTCCCCATGCGCGTCGGTTGGCTGGGCCGGGCGCTCCGCCTGATAACATCTCTCCGCTGGCGGTCCTGAAACATAAAATGTGCAACAGTTTCAACGATGGAGCACCATTCGTTTTCAGAACATGGTCCTCGCCTTAGCGCCGAGCACATTCGTTATTGAAGTTTGTATCAAGTTCGAGGGTGGAGGCTGGCTCACTTCCGCCGTGTCGCTCTCGCTTCAGTCGCCCGGCACATCCGTCTAAAGAAGTTCACAGCCGTTTCAAGGAGTCACAGGGTTGAAGTCCCAGGAATTGCGTTCTGGTGCGGTTCTGGATTGCTCGAACGCACTGGTGCGATCTAGGATTGCCAGAACGCAATTTCCACGTGGGTTCGCGGTGTGAAGTCCCAGGAATGGTGTTCGGACAAGATTTGGGATTGTCAGGACGCAGCGGTCACGTTGATTCGCGGCGTTGTCAATTCCAGGACTTTGACTGCGTCTTGGAAGGATTGAGGGTTATCATACGGTCGTCTTCCGATAGGCAATGAAAATACATGAAACTACATTCTAGTAGGGACCTATGGAAAATGGAACTTGGAGGGAGGGTGTAGTGCAGCATCGTTGATGCGTCTTGCGTTTGCACTGGTCTTCCTCCTCCTCCTCCTCCTCATCCTCCTCCTAGCGCCGTCATACTGGTCGCGAACAAACGACTGAGAATCGGGGGGAACAAAGAGTACGGCTCCCCCGCGGTCAGGGTCTCAGAGAACCTTCTCTCGTCCACCGCCTGCTCCTCCCCTTCCTTGCTGTTATATCATCCGCCTTCGTCTCCTCCATCTCCTCCTTCTCCTCCTCCTTCTCCTCATCGTACTCCTCCTCCCCCTCCTCCTGCTCCGTGTCCTCGTCCTCCTCCTCCTCCTGTTGCTTGCCCTTTTGAAAAGGGGACTTGGTGGGAACTTTGATGGAACTAGTCCTCCTCCTCCTCCTCCACCTCTTCCTCCTGATCGTCCTCCTTCTCGCTCGTCACGAGCACACGGACAGATAACAACAGTGATGCCATACGGGCTGGCGGAATGAGAGAAGCGACTAGCTAATTCCCCCCTGTCGCGCCCACAGACGTGTCGGTAGTGCGGGTAGGGCGCTTCGCCTTAGACGCCCTCGCCACTTATGGCCCTGAAGCTTAGTAGTTGCAACAAATGCAACATATTCAAGGATGGAGGGGCCAATATGTTGCTCTCGCCTTAGCACCACGACACTCGTCCTAAAAGCTTGCGACAGCTTCAAGGATGGAGGGCGGGCCGTTGTCATAGTCTTCGGTTCAAAGTGGGAGTCTCGCCTGAGCGCCACGCGCACTCGTCCGAAGGCCTGCAGCACATCGTTTTCAATATTGGGCCCTCGCCTTTGCGCCGCGCACATTAGTGCCCATCGCAACACTCAGGAAGATAAGGGGAACTGTTCTGGTTCAAATGAAGCCCTCGCGCGTCAACATGTAGCACTGCACGGATCGCAAGTGATTCCGTCTCTAGATGTCTCTCCCTTGACACTTCCTCGAAACTCCTGACCACGAGTGTAAGCTTGGGCAACGATATGCAACGCGGATAGGGGTCAGTCCTCATTCAAAAGGGGGACCGTATGAGCAGCGTGTGTCGCGTTCCTAGATCTGCGCCAAACACATGCAGGGCAATTCCTTTTCAAAACGAGGCCCTCGCCAAACTGGCAGGCGCATATCCCTCTGTTCATTCCGGGGGGGGGGCCTTTTGAAATTAGAAAGAGTATGTGCACGTGTTAGGCGGGGACTTGGGACGAGAGGGTATAGTGCAGCATCGCTGCTGCACGCTGGGTTTACTCTGGTCCTCCTCCTCCTCCTCCTCCTCCTCCTCTTCCTCCTCCTCCTCCTCCTCCTCCTCCTCCTCCTCCTCCTCCTCCTCCTCCTCCTCATCCCCCCCCTCCGTCTCCCTCCGTCTCCCTCCGCCTCCCGCTCCCCCCCGTCTCCCTCCTCTCCTCCTCCCCTCCTCCTCCTCCTCCTTCCTCCCCCTCCGTCCCCTCCTCCTCCTCCTCCTCCTCCTCCTCCTCCTCCTCCTCCTCATCCTCTTCTCCTCCGAACTAAATGTGTAGCCATTCCTCTCGGGGCAGGGTGCTCCCCGGCTGAAACGGGAACATCAAGGGTGGCCATGCCGCATCGGGTCATAGGTAACACTGGGGCCGAACGCTTGCAGATGGGAGATTCGGCAACCTTTGGAAAATTGAAATAGGGCCGCCCCAGGCGAAGGGCGCTGGCAACAGCGAAGGAGGACATCAAGTGGAGGCTGGTATTGCGAGAAGAAGGCGGGCGCTCTCAGCTACGACGCTGGGGCCAGCGCGTGCGACAAGGCAGGCACAGGCAGTGGATGCTGGCATCGCGAGAAGGTGGCAGGCACCCTCGGCTACACTGATAAGATCAGCGCGTGCGACAGGCAGGTAGTGGCAGCCGAGGCTGGTAGCGCGAGTAGTTTACACGCGACTTCAGCTTGAAAGTTGGACTCAGCGCATGCGTCAAGGCAGGCAGTGGCAGTGGACGCTGGCACTGCGAATAGAGGCAGGCAACCTCGGCTACAATGCTGGGATCAGCGCGCGCGACAGGCAGGCAGTGGCAGCGAAGACTGGCATCTCAAGAAGTGTGCAGGGACCCTCAGCTTCAGATTTGAGACCAGCTCACGCGACAAGGCAGACAGTACAACGCTGGGGGCAGCTCGTGCAAGAAGCCAGCAAAGTGCAGGAGCAGCGCGTCTTCAGCTATGATGCTGGGCCAGCGCGTGCGAGAACGTGTATGGCGACTGCAGTCGCCAGCGCACCGCGGCACAGCAGGAGCAGCATGTCATCAGCTACAATGCTGGGGCAGCTCGTGCGAGGAGTGCAGTGGCGACAGCGGAAGCAGCACGTCATCAGCTACGACGCTGGGGGCAGCGGGTGCGAGAAGTGTGAAGCGGCAGCAATGGAGGCCAGCGCAACACGGCAGAGCAGGAGCAGCAGGTCATCAGCTACAATGCTGGGGGCAGCTCGTTCAAGAAGGCAGCGAGAGTGCAGGATCAGCACGCGATCAGCTACAACGCCGGGGGCGGCTCGTGAGAGGCGTGCAGTGGCGGCGGCGTCAGCCATGGCCAGCGCACCATGGCAGAGCAGGAGCAAAACGTCATCAGGGATCAGTGCGTGCGACAAGGCAGGCAGCGAGTGGGCCGCGGCAGAGGATCATTGGCTACAGCGCTGGGATCAGCTCCTGCGAGAGAAGGAGCGCAGTAGCAGCACCTGGCACTTTGAGAAGGGCACGTAGTGGTTGATGTTTCAGCCACGTGCAAATCTGGGGCACATCAGAATGTTGAGCAGCAGCGTTAGGCGCCGTGGATCTGGCGCCCCCGCGCCAGATCCACGGATCCCTAATCCATGTTGGCGTGTGCCCGATCTCCGCGCGGGCATCGACATCGGTACTCCTCCTCTCCCCCAGCCGGACCTCCGAGCTGGCTTACGCCCTCGCCTGACCATCCTAAATGATTTGAAGGCGCACGAGGACGCCGCCCCATCAGGGGTGGGGGGCCGCCAGCCCTGGCGTCGCGGGCGCCAGCGCCATCCACGCCTTGGGGGGGGATAAAGATCAGATACTCGCTATGGCGGCCTTCCTGTGCACTCATGCGTCGATGCTGAGTCGAACGTCCTTCGACTTGAGTCGACCTTAACCCGAAATCACATCAAATGGGAGACTATAGTCGAATAGATCCGTTAGGTTGGCCCCAGGCCCCCAAAACGAGGATGTAACAAGGAGGTCACGCCTGCCCCGCTCTCCCTCCCTCCATTGTCCCTTTTTGCCCAAATGCCCCACAAGCAACTCGGCATGAGAGGTGCCAGCTTCCCAACCAACAGGAAGGAGGCTCCATGATGCAGCAGCCTGGGACCGGCTTTTCATCCCGAGCCTCTTGCAGACAGCCTCGGGGCCTGGTGAGGCCCTCGAAAGACCCAGCACGGCCAAAACCGTCCGCCGCGATGTTTTCACTTCGCGCGACCTCTCGCCTCCAGACACTTGAAGAGCCAGCAACTGGGCAAGAGCCACTGGTACCCCAAGGGCAACACCATGGGCCACCGAGATGCCACCATCGGTCACGTCGCAAAGGGTCCGGCTTTCGGGTCATAACTTGGGTCTCCGTCAGCCGTCCGGGACGACTCTGGCATTCCAAGAACGTCCACGGCGGGGCAGCTCGGAGGGGGGAGGGAGCGTGACATCCCTCCCGCTTTCTCCTTCTCCTTCTCCTTCTCCATCTCCCCATCTCCTCCTCTTACTCCCCCTCCTCCTCCTCCTCCTCCTCCTCCTCCTCCTCCTCCTCCGCCTCCACCTCTCCTCCTCCTCCTCCTCCTCCTCCTCCTCCCCTCTCCTCCTATCCTCCTCCTCCTCCTCCTCCCCTCCTCCTCCTCCTCCTCCTCCTCCTCCTCCTGCCTCCTCCTCCTCCTCCTCCTCCTCCTCCTCTCTCCTCCCCTCCTGCTCCTCCTCCCTGCTCCTCCTCCTCCTCCTCCTCCTCCTCCTCCTCCTCCTCCTCCTCCTCCTCCTCCTCCTCCTCCTCCTCTCCTCCTCCTCCCCCTCCTCCTCCTCCTCCTCCTCCCTCCTTCTACTCTTAGTTATTTTCTCCTGCTCGCCCTTGAACCTCAGACCCATCCTAAAGTGCCTCCCCTTTCGCGTGCCCCCCCCGCGGCACCAAGGCGGCCACTCTCTGGACCGACGAGCGGTCCGACGACGCCGGCGTGGGCGGCGGCAGGTCCGCCAGGAGGCAGAAGGCGTTGCATTGGCCTCGGCGGAGGGCGACGAACCCAGACCTCCTCGCGCTGCTCAGAAGTCACCACGGGAGTCGCTTTACCACTGTCGGCCTTCATGAGCTCTTACCAAGCCCCAAGACCGTCGAAGGTGACCGGAGATGGAGAAGCCGTTCCAGGGAAAGGGGTCCGGACCTCCAGGGGGTCACGCTGCGGGAAAGGGCACGGTGTCGGGGGTCTGGGAAGGAGGAGGAGGCCCTTGGACATTTATGCGGGACGGGAAAATGAGCACAGCCACTGCTTCTTGTTTGCGCCGCAATCCAGCCGGCCGAAGAAGGAGCACTGGTTCTGGTCATTTCCCTGGTGCCACGCTCACCGAAAATGACCACAACCACTGCTTTGTGTCTGCGGGCTGGAAGGCGGCAACAAAAGAAAAGCAGTGGCTGTGGTCGTTTTCACGCCCCGTAATTTATCACTCTTTGCGGGCCTGCCAGGTTGTTCTCAACAGTCCTGGAGCACTGGGGCCCGACAGAAGTCCCCCTGGAGGCAACCGAATTCATATAACCCTGACTCCAGTTCCGCCGCGTGCACTGTGGTTCATTATCCGACTTCATGTATCGGAAATGTACATCAAAAGATGCGACGAAAATAAAGCGGAAGCTTCCGCCTCGGAGAATAAGGGCGGATATGTCCGCAAAAGTATCCGCCACCGCGCCGCTGGGCACGGAGTGGGCGTGTCCTCAGGTCCTTTGCCTAATCCCCCAAGCGCTCCTGAGGAGTCTTCAGGGGGCCCGGACCCGAAATTGTCAGATCTCTCAGGGCTTGTCGCGTGCCCCCTAGGCTCCGAGAAGTGGCTCCGCATGACTTTTGTCACGCGCAAGAGATCCCCAAGACGGGTCAAGAGGGCCGCACGAGGCCCCAAAGACGGTCGAAGAGGGCCCCGAGTCGCCGAAAGATCGTTCCAAGACGCCCAAGATGGCCCAAAGATGGCCCAAGAGGCCTCCAAGACGCCCCAAGAGGCCTCCAAGAGGCCTCCCAAGAGGCCTCCAAGAGGCCTCCCAAGAGGGCCGAAAGAGGCGAGAATCGCGTGTTTCCTTTAGTTGTTGAAAGATTTGGGCGTTCTCGCCTTTTCTATTCTCCGACGCTCCAAGGCGGCCCAAGAGACCCCCAAGACCACCCCAAGACGGCCTAAGAGGCCTCCAAGAGGGCCCCCAAGACAGCCTGAGAGCGCTCCAAGACGGCCCAAGAGGCGCCCAAGACGACCCAAGAGGGCCCCACGACGGCCCCAAAAGGGGGCCAAGAGAGGGAACATGAAGCAGAAATCCCAGCCGTCTGCCCGACGGTCTAAGATGGGCTCCAAGACGCCTCCAAGACGGCCAACATGGCCTTCAAGACGGCTCAGACGGCCCAAAAATGCCTCCAAGATGGCCCAAGATCCCTCCAAGACGACCTGAGATAGCCTGCAGATGGTTCAAGACGGCCCCAGGGGCCCCCAAGAGCCCCCCAAGACGCCTCCAAGAGATCCTCAAGGAGGCCCGAAGAGGCCAAAGTCGTTGGTTTCCCAATATTTGCTTCTTGTCGGCCTTCCGAAGACCTCACGACGGCCCAAGAGGCCCCCAAGATCACCCACGAGGCCTCCAAGATGGCCCCATGACGCCCAGGAGGCCCCCAAGACGGCCCCAAGAGGACCCAAGAGGCCTCCAAGACGGCCAAAAGGGCCTCCAAGACGGGTAAGAATGGCCCCAAGATGCCTCCAATACGGCCCAAGAGGCACCCAAGACGGCCTAAGATGGCCTCAAGATGGCCCAAGACGGCCCAAGAGGCCCCCAAGATCGCCCACGAGGCCTCCAAGATGGCCCCATGACGGCCCAAGAGGCCCCCAAGACGGCCCCAAGAGGACCCAAGAGGCCTCCAAGACGGCCAAAATGGCCTCCTCCTCCTCCTCCTCCTCCTCCTCCGTCAGCCCCTCCTCCTCCTCCTCCTCCTACCTCCTCCTCTCCTCCCTCCTCCTCCCTCCTCCTCCTCCTCCTTCCTCCTCGCTCCACCTCCTCCTCCCCTCCTACTCCTCCTCCTCCTCCTCCTCCTCCTCCTCCTCCCTCCTTCCTCCTCCTCCTCCTCCTCTTTTTTCCTCATCCTTCCCCTCCTCCTCTTCTTGCTCCCCCATACGTTCCCCGAAGTCTTTCCAAACCGACTCGGGGAACAACTGGCCCGATAGCTTGGCCAAGCTCTGACCCAGCTGTCGGCGACAGAGGGGCTTCCAAAGGGGCAGGGGGCGGCGGTGATTCGCCGTAGGCGTCTTCGATCCGCCGCCCACAGTGGATTCATCACAGGGGTGCCCGGCGTGCTAAATCCGTTCGCTTTTGGTTTTGGTTCTTTTCTAAAAGAACTCCCCCTAGGGTTTCGGCCCGTCCCGCCGGAGATGCGTAACAGGTGGATGCAAAGGGATTTTCGGCTCCAGACGGCTCCAAGATGGCCTCCAAGGTGGCCAAGATGGCCCAAGATGGCCTCCAAGTTCGTCCAAGAAGATCCAAGATGGCCTCGAAGACGGCCCAAGAGAGTCCAAGATGCCTCCAAGTTCGCACAAGAAACACCTAAGACGGCCCAAGACGGCCCAAGAGGCCTTCAAGAGGCCTCCAAGACGGCCCGAAGAGGCCAAAATCATTGATTGTCCTTAGGTTTCTGAAAGATTTTGACATTTGCTCTTTGTCTGCATTCCGACGGCTCAAGACGGCCCACGAGGACCCCAAGATCGCTCCAAGATCACCCACGAGGCCTCCAAGATCGCCCCTATGACGGCCCAAGAGGCTCCCAAGACGGCCCCAAGAGGGCCCCAAGAGGGCCACAAGAGGCCTCCAAGACAGCCATGATGGCACGTGGCCCCCAAGCTCGCCCCAGGATCGCCCACGAGGCTTCCAAGATGGCCCCATGACGACCCAAGAGGCCCCCAAGACGGCCACAAGAGGGCCCTACGAGGCCTCCGAGACGGCCAAGACGGCCTCCAAGACGGCTAAGATGGCCCCAAGATGCCTCCAAGACGGCCTAAGATGGCCTCAAGATGCCCACGACGGCCCAAGAGGCCCCCAAGAAGCCTCCAAGACGGCCCAAGAGGCCTCCAAGAGGTCCTCCAGGAGGTCCTCCAGGAGGACCCGAAGAGATCAGAATCATTGATTTTCTCACGGTTTTCGTAGAATGCTGGCATTTGTTTTTCCCAACCCTCCTTGGTTGGGTATTCGTTTTGAATAGAGCAGTGTGGTCTCCACTCCTTCCTCCTCCTCCCTCCCTCCCTGCCTCTTCCTGTCTTGCCTGCGGGGGGCTGCGATCTGTGAAACTGTCGCCATTTTCGAGGCCTGCTGGGGGGCCCAGCACAGTGAGGGCCACACGCAGATTCAAATTAGACCTCGCCATCCCTGGGGAAGCTGCGACCTGTGAAACTGTCGCCACTTTCGAGGCCTGCTGGGG